GTTTCTTCGGAAAGAATTTTTACGGAAAATTAACAAACGAACACAGAAGCGTAACAATATAAACACAACTAATTACCATGGTGCATAAAACTCCACAAGAATAAGGTCAGCTTGATTAACAACACTGGTGAAATTCTCATTGGTCAAGGTTATCACAGCCTCTGGAGATGGTTTCCAGTTAGGATCAGCTCGTTCTTTCATATATTTCACAATACCTGCAACGATTACACAACACTTTTTAATGCATGATTCGATGATTTTATTATTTATCTTTTTCATTTTTCTCAATATATATGCACTGTATAACTTATATAGTAATCATTTTAAATAAAAATGTTAGAGAACATTAAGTCAGTTAAGTTTAAAACTGACTTAACTTTTACAAGATCAAAAGCAAATAAAAATAAATCACATTTCCAATATGTTAATTTACAAGAATTCCAACATGTAAAAGGCTCACCTTGACCATTAAATTATAATTGCTAGATTTGAATATCCAATATTGTGCATTCATCATTATTGATACAAATTTATAAAAATTTTAGTACACTTATGGGTTTCTGTAGTCACAAGGTCTAGACAAACATGATTTACTGAACTTTGAGATTTGCTGAGAGAAACTTTCTAATGCATGCATACTTTTATAGGTTTGGCTTAGATATATTACTAGATAATTCACAGAACGCTGATTCAATCACTTTTATTTTTTGATCAAACTAGCTGCCTTTCCGAAAACTGCTCCCTAGTAGATTTGTGCGAAATTCAATCTTTAAATAACTGAATAAGGCCACTAAAACTACACAAGAATGTTATATATTTCTGTTCTATAAAGCACTGTTAGTGTGAAATTGCAAAAGCATCGTAGTACACAGATCGGTGGCATGGAATGCTTGGCTACTAAATGCTTAGAACTAAATTGAGTTCAAGATAAACTTATGATTAAAATTTTTGACAATAGTTATATTATTCTAAAATCACAATTATCTAAGTAAATCGTGTATAATTCACACATCAATTATACCATATAATGAATTAGCTGTTTCTCATTGTTCGATATTGAAGTTATCAGTGAATATGTTGTGGTAAATACAAATAACTTGCTCTTTTTTTGCCTCTTGCTCCTCATATGAAACCAAATCAAACGTTTAGTTTGGATATACTTTTATGCAAGATTACAAATAAATAAAACCGTATCAAAATGTTTTATCTGTGACCAAGTAGGGCATATAGCTAAATTCTGAAGGCAGAATAAGAAAACTGTGGAGAGAAGAGAAAATGTAATGTGTTGTATTGAAGATAGAGATAAATTTTCAAATTGTGATCAATAGGCAAGCAGTAGTTGGAAAACTCTTGAGAAAAGAGTCAGTAAAAGATAGTTAACTCGTAGGAGATAAGTAAGATATAATTGGGTTTAGCACTACAGCAAGTGGGGCTGAGTAAACTGTACTACTAGCTAAAGTCACATTGAAATGTTAAACTTTTGAAGGTGAAATAGTCATAAATGTGGAATGAGTTAGAAACGTCAAGTTGTAAAATACAACAGTAGCAGTGGTAACTCGTAGCCAAGTAACAAATGAGATTAGAAAAACTCCGAAATATGGATACGTGTTAAAAAATAAGTAATCAAGTAAATAATAAAAATAATAATGAACTTTAAACTACTGTTAGGTAGGGGGGGAATTAGGCTCTTTAGGCCGGGCCCATATTTGCTTTCGCTTGATGTATAATATTGGTATGAATAAAGCCCGCCGGGCCCCATTTTAATTTTTAGCTGACTAGGCATTTAGGCTTAAATCCGCCCCTGCTGTTAGGATAGGGAATATCGATCGAGAACAAATAATCAAATAAAAGTTACAAAATGAAAGTTTGGATAAATGCCGTAGTGAAACTGTAATAAAGGAATGGTAAGTAACTAAACTCAATCAATACTATTATTATTATGGCGGAAAAGAGTGTAAATGCAATGGAGATGATGCAATAGATGATTGGAATCAAATATTACTCCCAAAACATTGTAGACAGATAGTATTAGAGTTAGGACATGAAGCCGAAATTATGGAAGGCGACTAAAGTAAAACAATTTAAAATACTGTAGTAGCCCTTATAGACTGCAAACAAATTGGATGTTTGAGAGAGCAAATGGAACAATTAAGGTAGCATATACTTTTTACTTAGTGGCCCGACATGGCCAGATGGTTAGTGCGCTTGAGATGCAATCTGAAGGTCGTGGGTTCGAATCCCCGTCCCATCATATATGCTCGCCCGTTCAGCAGTGGAGGCGTTATAATGTGACGATCAATCCCACTATTCGTTAGTAAAAGAGTAGCCCAAGAGTTAGCGGTGGGTGGTGATGACTAGCTGCCTTTCCTCTAGTCTTACACTGTTAAATTAGGGACGGCTAGCGCAGATAGCCCTTGTGTAGCTTTATGCGAAATTCAAAACAAACTTTACCTAGTGTTATCTAGATTTTGGCCTCTTTATCAGAAAAAAACATCTTCATACTATGCTTTTTCTGTGAAAATATGTTGAAATAGGTACAAAGACACTTTCTGGTACATGTTATGTAATATTACCACTGTGACTAATTTGCATATTATAAAGATAATGAAATCTAAAAGAAATGTTTTATGTTCCTGATAACTTCTAAAAATATGACTGAATTCTCTTGAAAACTGGTCCAAACTTTGATGGGATGTAAAGAATTAGTCTGAACTAAGGAAAATTATGTTTGTTTTTGAATTTCGCGCAAAGCTACACGGGGGCTATCTGCGCTAGCCGTCCCTAATTTAGCAGTGCAAGACTATAG